AGGATTAAGGACTGACAGATGTTAGATCAGAACTGTGAGGAAGCCGATCACATGATGCTGGTCTGTGAGAACAGACTCTGACCTTGAGACGTGTCCGGCTTGGTGCCAAATCCTCCTAACTCCTGTCCCAGGCCGACGAGCAAAGGGTTGACTGAGGCCTAAAAACCAACCAAAGCTTAAAGACTCTTGAATCTCCAGCTTCTACTGTCCAGAATACCAGCCCTAGTCACTTTTTGTCTGTAACTCATTAAGGGTGGTCTCCCAAGTTTCTCTGCTTTTGAGACAAGGTCTTCTCTCGTAGGCCAGGCTGGCCTGGAATTCTATAGATAGGTGAGGGTGGCCCTGAATTCCTGATCCTCCTGTCTCTACCTAAGTAAGTATACTACATTTGCAAGTATGTGTCCCCATACCCAGGTTTAGCGCGGCCAGCACCGCACATCTGGGTTCTAAGGCAGTGAAAACACAGGACAGCCAGGGCTACACAGAGAAACCCTGTCTTAGAAAACAAAGAAGTGAAAACACAGAAAACCACAGCCTTCACTGTGCAGAGCCAGGCATCTATGGGCCTATCTGCTCAACTTTTCTTTCACAGAACCTGTACCCCTTGCACTATGAGGTTTAGCAGCCTTGGCAGCAGGTTCTCGGATTCTGACTTCTGGCCCACGGTCTGGCTTGCGTTTGCGTTGCACGGGAGAATCCAGTGTCCGCAGCAGGATAGTCACTGGCAGCTGGGTGATGCGTGAGGCCTTACTCCTGACCTTTGTTAGGGTTATCTGGGGACAGCAAAAACATCCCGAAGCCTCTTGTCTCCAGAAAGTTTTCCCTATAAAATTAGTAACTGTTTATTTGCCATTCGCTGTGTGCCAGATACTGGGGAGCCACTGTCTCGTGTCACTTCACACCAGCTGACGAGGTCACAGGTATGCAAACCGAGGCCAAAAGACCAGAAACTCATAATGACTTTAGATAGTTAATTGGTGCTTAATGTGGAGCCAAAATGCAGATCTGTGACCTCGACGTCCATGTTCCTATTGACTTTGCTGTTTGCTCACGCCATTGTCTCTGGACACGAGGACCAAGTGGTTAGGTCCCCCTCCTCACCCATCCTGCCTAGGTTGCTTTCTCTTGGCTTTTTTGAGGCAGTGTTTTCAAGCAAATTGGCCATGAGGCCTTTAAAACTGAGGCCTTTTGTCTGCCACATCTTCCACAGAATCTAAACATCCCTTTGTGGTAGAGAATCACTGAGACTATAGTACCTTTGGGAGGATTTAAAATAGCTACTCCCAACGCCTGGCTAGCTCAGTCGGCAGAGCATGAGACTCCAAATAGGTTCTTCCTGTGAAAGGAGCTGCTCTTGAGCCCCAGGGCTCTCGCCGTGGCTGTGTAGTCATTTGGTATGGCGATGTTTCTATCGACCACAGGAGCAAGGTGCTCAACACCTTTATTGCTGGGTCATTTTAGAAAGGAGATTCAAGTTACATTTCCTGGCCAGGAGGGGAGACTCAAAGGTGACAGGTGTTGGGGCTGAGGAAAGGACTCAGAGCAGGTGCTTGCTCTGCAAGCATGAAGAACAAAGCTCAAGTTCTGTACATTTACTTAAAAAAAACAGGCATAGCCAGGTGATGGTGGTGGTGCATGCTTTAATCCCAGCACTTGGGAGGCAGTGGCAGGCAGATCTTAGTGTGTTCAAGGCCAGCCTGGTCTACAGGGTTTACAGAGCTAGTTTCAGGCAGGACAAGTTCCAAAGCTACACAGACAAACCCTGTTTCTAAAAAAGAAAAGAAAAGAAAGAGAAAAAGAAAAAAACAAACAAAAAATCCAGTCATGGCTCTATGTACACCTGTAACCCCAGTGCTGTGAAGGGCAGACAGGATGCTCACTGTGACACAAGCCACCAGCCAAACGCCAGGTTCAGAGACCTCAAGGAGATAAAGCTCAATGTGATAGAGTCGAGCGCCTGATACCGTCTTCAGCCTGCACGCATGCACACATGCACACACACAGGTTTGTGTTCCCCCCTACATAACACCTGTGTATCTACCACATACACTCACACATACAGTCGATGTCAGCTGCTATCTGAATGCCTGTACCGAGAGTGCTGGAGTCATTATTAATAAGACAGTGCTACCATCGTTATTAATAAGAGCTTCAGTTACTCTCAAAGCTTTCGGTGTCCTGGCTGCATGGGGTCATCATGGTTTGTGAGGATGCCTTAGAAAACATGACTAGTGGGTAGTTTTCCTACTCTGAGCTACTGTGGACTGAATTGTAGGTATGGATCTAGGAAGCCTCAACCCCAGCCAGCAGCTGATGAAAAAAAAGTGGCCTGTGTTTAGAAAAGAGGCTAGTTATATTTATGTGGTGTTGTTCCGAGCCAGGGTCTCACTGTGTGACCCGAGCTGGCGCAGAGCTCACTAGGGAGACACTGGCCTCAGATTCACAGAGGTATGCATCTCTTTCTGCCTCCCTAGTGCTAGGAGTAAAAGTGAGTACCTTTGCACTTAGCTGGGATAGTTTAAAAGGGAGTCTGAGCTCAGCCTGGTGACACAGGCCTGTAATCCCAGCTGCTCAGGTGTCTGAGGCAGGGGATTGCAAGCCAAGGTCTGAGGTACAGAGCTCTCCAGAGAAGGAACTCAGTCTAGGAGGGGCCACTGGGGTCGGCAGGAAGCCAGATGCAGAGGTTGCATGAGCACCACCTTTGCCGTGACCTAGGTCAGTAGTGAGGCTTGAATAAATGTCTTCTCTACAGCATGCGAGAGTCCCTGAGTGTGCCCAGCCCAGACCTGGGCAGAGAGCGTCTCTGTCTTCTTCCATCAAAAGAACAGTAGTGGCGCAGGGCAGCAGAGCCTGCTGATCTGACAGCGAGAGGAGCACAGCCAGGTGATCCTGAGAGCTGCCGAGGCTGAGGCTCTGGGGTCCAGTCATCTCTTCCTCCTGTGCTGCAATTGTTTTTAGCAACTGGCTTTAGTGTGATTTTGTCATTTGGTACCTGACTCCCCTCAGGGAAGACTACCCAAGGTGTTAGATTATAGGCACTGCTGAGACCGCGCAGCTTGTAGGATTTAGGAATGCATGAATTACTCTGTTTCACCTGGTTCTTAGGAACTGGCACCGTCTTGGAGGAATTTTGCCCTTTTTTGGCCTTGAGTCAAGACCCTGGCTAGCTGTTTAGCTATGAAAGCTGCCCACAAGCATGAGAGGACTAGTGTGCCTGCCATTGCTGGTCCCAGTCCCCATGCTTATGGAGCTGGAAGCAGAGCAGACAGCCTACCCTGTACAGGGACACTGGTGGAGTGGTTTGGAGAAAGAAGCGTCAGGCCTTTGCCTTTGCTGCCTTTTCCCGTGAAGCCCAGGACACAGCCCCGCTCATCGTCTCCAATTCTTCGTCTCCTCGGGAACTTGGGCAGAAAGGAGCATTTGCTCCCAAGTAAGGTTAACTTTGGTCTGGAAAGGAAAACAGCCCAGAGGTGACCTTCTGTCCCAGGGGCCAGCCTTGGTCCATAGTGTGTCTGACCCCGACTGGTCCCTTTGCCTCCTGCCTTCTCTCAGGCCAATGCCCTCACACTTCCCCTCCCAGTTCCCTGAGAGCAAGGTTTTCCTTGATGTCATGGTCTTCCTGCACGCAGGTTACCAGAGTGCGCAACACTTTTCTCCCCACTCCTTTTTTTTTTTAAAGATTTCTTTATTTATTATGTATACAACATTCTGCCTCAATGTATGACCGCACGCCAAAGGAGGGCGCCAGATCTCAGTACAGATGGTTGTGAGCCACCATGTGGTTGCTGGGAATTGAACTCAGGACCTTTGGAAGAGCAGCCAATGCTCTTAACCTCTGAGCCATCTCTCCAGCCCTCCCCACTCCTTCTTTCCTGCTAACTTGGTCTAGTGCCTCTGCTTCCACCTGCCCCTGCCCTGCCCTTTGCCTGAATCAGTGTCTCAGGAACTGCTTGCCTGGGGTTCCTTTTTTTATTAATATTAAGCTCAGATATCCAGGATTCCCAAGGTCAGCTGAATTTTGAATCTTCACCCCACAGAGAGTCAGGAGGTGAGACAGGAAGATGAAATTGTAGTTCAAACTGAGCTCTGTAGTGAGTTCCAGGCTGGCCTAGACTATATAACAAGACCTTGTCTCAAAAAAAAAAAAAAAAGTCAGGGGCTGGAGAGATGGCTCAGTAGTTAAGAGCACTGGCTGCTCTTCCAGAGGACCTAAATTCAATCCCAGCACCCACATGGCAACTCACAACTGTCTGTAATTCCAGTTCTAGGGGATCCGACACCTTCACACAGACCATACATGCAGGCAAAACACATAAGAAAAATCCACATAAAATAAAGTTAAATAAAATTTAAAATGTCAGAGCAGCATTGTTGAGGAGAGAGATACCCTGTTCCCCATCAGAATAACAGTTGCAGCGTATTCTTGAGTGTCCACTGTACCTCAATGCTTGGATGCCCGAAAGTTTGTTCCAAGAGATGGATATGAAGGCCGGGTTGGCACTGTGGGATGAAAACAAGTGGCAGATGGTGCTGAGGAACATCCCAGGACTGAAGAAATGTGGTTTCCAGAAAGGGAGAAGCAGTAAGCCATGGGCAGAAAGCTCTGCTCGGCACCCAGGACAGCCTGGCTAGAGGACGCGGGGGCTGAGAGTGCATGGTGGTGTCAGGGACACTGGTGACCATACCCAGGGCACACAGCCTTGGTGTCCATGCTGGGCTGCTCAGAAAAGGTAGGGGATGGAAAAGATTCAAAAGTGGTCCCAGAAGCTGGGCAGGGCGGCGCATGCCTATAACCTCAGCACTTGGGAGGCAGTGGTCAGAGGCTGAAGAATTCAAGTCCAGCCTCAACTACACGAGATACATTTCTTTCTCAAAAAGGAAACAGTATGGGAGAAGATCTCATAAACCAGAAGGATTGCTCCCTACCATCCTGCCTCCTTGCTCTATATAAACATTCTTGCCAGGGACTGAGACCCTGTTTGGCCCTTCACTTTCTTCAGGTACTAGAGGTGGTTCGAGCCAACTATGACACACTCACACTGAAGCTACAAGATGGCCTGGACCAGTATGAGCGCTACTCCGAGCAACATAAGGAAGCTGCCTTCTTCAAAGAGCTGGTGAGTGCCCATCCCCAGCTCCACCTGTGTCTCTGGGGCAGGGAGGAGTTCTGGACACTGGGATCTGCTCTATATCTAGGGTATGACTGCAGCCTGCTAGATAATAAAATTAGAGGGTCTGCATGTAACTTCTCCTCCAAAGCATTTTGGAATGAGGCAGTGAGAGGCAGATACTCCAGGGCAGCCTTACCCACCTCGTCTGCAGCCACAGGGAACACCTTACACAGCTGCAGCTGGGCCTGAGGTCTGGCATGTGTTGGCCAGTGCCAGCCATGATGTTTTACCCTGTTCCTGTCCTTAGAGCAATTCATGAGAGCAACTGGTCCTTCTGCAGTCACTCCTTCCTCACTCCCTAGCTGGTGTTGGCCTGAGAGTCCCCGTCCACAGCTCCACTCCCGGTGTCCCCGGCCCCTTCCAGCAGAGCTCCAAGCTGACCTCTCCCTTTTCCCTTCCTGTTCTGTACTCAGAGCTGCTAAGAAAAGTCCTGCTTCCCTGCCGCTCCGCTGCCTGCTTGGTTGACACAGACCCTGGCAGTGGCTGACATTACACGAAGGCTCTAAACCCACTTGCCAGGCTTGCACCAGCGAAGCTTTCAGTTAACGCACCGAGTCTGTGCATGGTGCTGATGCCAGATCGTGACAGCCCAGCTCTAACTGGGACGTGAAACACCTCAGGATTTTTCTGTGGCGAGTTAGTTGTGAACAAGAAAGCCGTCGTGACCGGGCAGTGGTGGCACACACCTTTAATCCCAGCACTTGGGAGGCAGAGGCAGGTGGATCTCTGTGAGTTTGAGGCCAGCCTGGTCTACAGAGAGAGTTCCAGGACAGGCCCCAAAGCTATAGAGAAACCTTGTCTCAAAACTGCCCCCCCCAAAGCCATTGTGTAAAGAGAGTAGGAACAGTGTTTGTAACGAGGTGAATGTGGTCTTTACATTAGTGTGGGGACCACTGGGCACCGGCAGCAAATAGAGACTGTCTTTAGGTTATGGAAAGGGTTAAAAAGCAGGCTTAGAGTCTCTCTCTCAATACAGTATCTCACCATATAGTCTTGACTGGCCTGGGGCTTGCAGTGGTCCTCCTGCCTCAGCCTCCCGAGTGCCGGGATCACAGGCAGGCGCCGTCCTTTGAGGCCTTTGGCACTTTCCCTCACTCCTGGCTGCACCTCTGGCACAGGGGAGGAGTTAGGAGCTAAAGAGCTGGCTTTGCCTGTGATGGCCCTGCTGCCGCCCCGTCCTCTGCTTCCTGCCTCATGACTCCACTTCCTTTCTTAGAGCTAAGCAGAAATGAAAGAAATGCCCCCTGGCCTCTGGGGACTAAGGCAAACAGCACATTCTTCCCCTCCCTGGTTGGTTTGTTCCTCACAAAAGTACAGACATATTTCCATGGACAAGCTAAATTCCTCATGAAGCCAGCTAGAGTTGGGAGAAAGACACAGATCTTTCTCCTGGCCGCACAGAGCCTCGGACAGTGCCCTCTGCTGTTTGTAATGGACTGTTCTCTCTGCCTCTGCCCTTCCACCTTCCCAGGTTCGATCCATTAGTACCAACGTCCGGAGGAACCTGGCCTTCCATACACTCAGCCAGGAAGCCCTCCTGAAGGAGTTTTCTACCATCTCCTGAGACTGTGCTGCCTAAGAGCCACTGACTGCCCCTACCCATGAGGCTCCTGGGCTGGAGGGCAAGCACAGGGAGTGGGGACTGCCTTCAAGGTTGGAGAGAAGCAGAGACAGCGAGAGTCTTCAGTGAGCTTGGACAGCTGGGGCAGCCCAGGGTGATCTTATTTGGGGAGAAATGGGCGGGCAACAGAAAAGGCATGCAGAAATGCGGGGCTTCTGGGCTGCATTCACGGGGTGCTGCCTCATGACTCCAGCTGGGGTTCCAGGTTCTGGCTTCTGATTGATTATTCAGGTGCTGGTGGAGCAGGCCTCAGCTGATGCCAACACTCTGAGGGCCAGCGGCTGGTTTTGGCTATGACGCCACATCCTGTTCCCTATTTGGACCTGGAGCTGAGCGAGGCCTCTGCCCCTGCTGCAGTGTGTCCAGTCCTCTGCCCAAGCATAGAGTAGGTCAGGGGTGGCACCTTTTTTCTGTTTTCTAAATTCAAACTTGATGCCTCAGAGAAACTGGAGATTGGAATCTGCCTGGTGCTGTGCTCCGACCTCCACTTTCTGGATTTGGCTTTGGCACCAGGAGCACCTGTTCACTTTTCCTTGCCTTCCAACCGTTGACTCATCAGCACAATAGGCCCACAACTTTAGCCTTTCGTTTCCAGTCTGTTTTAAACTGTCTTAAAAGAGTGTGTGTGAAATAAACATTGACAGGTTTTCTGCAGCCCTCAAGGTGCCTACTTTGCTGGTTCCCTTTCCAGCAGCTCCCCCTCCCCACCACCCTCTCCAATGGGAGCCTAGAGATGAGCTCCCTCCACGTGCTCCACCCCCTCACCCTGCTGTTGTTTACGTTCTGCCTGCCTAAGAATTTCCTCTAGGGAGGAGTCTGTTCCTGCCGTGGTCTGGTGCTGGGAGGGAGAGAACCTGTCTGGGTTAGGGAGTTTAGGGAGCAGGTGCTGGAACAGGCTAGGTGAGCCTCCATCTTGTCTAGCCATATTCTAGCTGGGTCTTGGGCACATCCCACCTTCATGAAGTTGGCCTGTGGCTTCTTTCTCAATAGTCTCCGTGGAAGCCCTGCAGGGCCTTTTCCTTCCCCACAGCAACTGCAGGAATAACCACTGCTCTGAGGTAGTTTTGTAGACGGCAGGAGGTTCAGAGGGAGGCTGAGTGCCTGCGCATTTAGCGTCTCTCTTGGGGATACTTGCCCTCCCTGGGAGCCAGAGTTCTGTTTGAGCAGAAGTGTGCTAGTTCTAGAGAATTCAGCAACAGACTGACATGCATAGATGTAGGCTGGGTCATCTCTGATCATTGGTCACTGGATGGATAACTTGACCTGAGGTTTCTAGTGTTTTCCATGGTGATAAACCCCAGAGCAGCTGGATCTGGAGCTGGTGGCAAATCAAAGCTATTAAAAATGGATTTGTGTGGTACAGTCTCTTTAGTGTCTTTTTCCCCTTCATCTCTTAAATTGATCCAGGTGTTGATCTGTGTGCAAAAAAGGGACCTTTCCTTAAGACTTGCCCTCTCTGAGTCTCCTGGACCTGACAGAGGCCGGCTGTGTTCAGACAACTATGGACTTCCCCTTCCCCTGTAGAGGAACAAGAGCCAATCTAGGATGAGGAGCTTTATGAAAGTGTCCCTTGCCTACCATCTCTCTTCCTAGTTTAAAAGCCTACTTCTTGGCCACCTCCTTTGTGTACACCTAAGGCCTCTCCTAGAAATGAGAGTGTTCTTCCCGAGGGCAGCCTTACACCACGGCAGCCTGTTCCAGCTGTGCAGAGGAGTACCCACCACAGTTCACTGACTCAACTGTTTGCAAAGTAAATCTAAATCCTGGACTAGGGAGCCCTGTGCAATGCTGGCCCTGCCTTCACAAAAGGAGGTGGCTTCGTGAGGGAGACATCTCTTTTCTCCTCTGTATCCTCACCTGAGTCCCCAAACCTTTCAGAAGCTCCCTAAATCTGCTGGAAAACAAAGAACCTTCTCTTCTCTTTGCAAGTGGCAAAGAGAAAGAGGCAGAAAAGCTGAGAGGAAAAAGGAAGGCAATAGCAGTGAAGACTTGAGAAACAGACCTGGTTCATTACTTTCTTTTACCTTCCCAGTTGGCTGGGAATGTTGGGGGCGGGGAGGGGGGTAGTGCTATAAATCAGGAAAGATGGCATTCCGGAAAGTGAGGTCCGTGCTGGAACTTGAGAGAGACAACTATGCCCAATGCCACTGGTGAGCCTGTGTCCAGAGGCCGGCTTGGCTTCTTCGCATCCCCATAGCGCTAGAGGAGGGCTGGCAGCTGGTTGGGAACACACAACTCGGCAGGGGGAACAACTGAGAAAATAAGGCTGACAGGAAGACACGAGCGAACAAGGGACCCACTGAGACGTACCCTCATGGCTCTGGCCCTACTGGGCGGGACTGACTGACTGTGGGGGAAGGGGTGCCTGAGAATTGGGGGCGGGTATTCCTTACAGTGGGGCCTTTCTGGCCCCCTCTTCCCCCAAGCCCCGCAGTTTAGTGGGTGGTGTAGCTGGAAAGCTAGTCTCCCTCCTGGCACTTTCCAGTTCACCCTTTCACCGGGTACCTCCTCCGAGTTGCAGAGGGTGGGGGGCGGGGGTAGGGGGAGCCAATCCCGGCAGCTCCTAAGGGGGGAGGCGGCGGTGACAGCCGCGGGGAGGGGGCGGAGGAGAGGCGGCTGGGCTCCGGCTCGGCTTTCTGCTCCACTCTGCCTCCCGCTCCACGCTACATAGCTGCCCAAGACTCTCGCTCCTGCCCCAGGACCCCGTGGTGGGCCCTAAAACCCAGCGAGTTCCCAGACAAAAGCCCTGTCAACCCCTACTCCCGGCCCCCAGCCCCGGCAGGTCGCTGCGCCGCCAGGGGGCGCCGTGTGAGCGCCCTATCCCGGCCACCCGGCGCCCCCTCCCACGGCCCAGGCGGGAGCGGGGCGCCGGGGGCCATGCGGGGCCAAGGCCGAAAGGAGAGTTTGTCCGAATCCCGAGATCTGGACGGCTCCTACGACCAGCTTACGGGTGAGTCAGTGGCTCAGGGGTCCCGGGCGGGTGGGCGGACTCCATCCCCCTAGACCCTTCCGTTGTTTGACCCTAGCTTGGCCCCTACCCACACTCTGCCCCACTCACATGTATGTACCTTCCAGGCTGGTCTGGGCGGCAAGACACAGGGACCCAAAGCTTAGGTTTCCTAGGGGGTGAGGAAGAGCAGGTGAGGCAGGTGTGGAGAGGCAGCAGGTGTAGGCGTGTGTGACACTGGGCTAAGAGTGTGTCTGGAGTGGGAGGTGTTACGTGCGTGAGCACCTGTCATTCTGTGTGTCTGTGTATGTATATGTGCGCCTCCCACAGCTAGTTGCCATGTGCCCTGAGCTTTGGTGACAGCTAGGGTGAGTGAGACTGCATGAGGCAGTGCGTTTTCATGGCCTGGCCAGATGTTTCAGTGTGGTTGCTGAGGACCCTGCTGCACTCGTGAAGTTGTTTTGATTGTGTGTCTGTTGCATGTTCAACTGTGTGCTTTGAATGATTCTGTATGAAGTGGCATGTAACTACCAGAGTACATCGAGGTGTCACTTTCTGTTGCTGTGTCTCTTTATAAGCTTTCTAAGGCTTCTGGGATGAGCAGTCATTACAAGTATGTTTGTGGTTGTGGGGCCGTGGGTTGTTTTAGCATTTGGTACTGTCTGCTCCTGTGTGTGATGCCTGCAGTGGGGGCTCTGAGAGTGTTAATGGCATCTCTGTTCTCGTTGCCTCTGTCTTTCTGCTGTTGTAAGGGTCTTTAGTGTCCCACACTAGTTCCCTCCATTTTTCTGCAAATAGTTCAAGGACATAAGGGACCCTAGGGACCCACTACCCAAACAACCTGGCTTGACAGTGCGACCAGGGTCCTGCTAAAGTCAGCAGCAGAGACTCACTCTCAAAGCTGACGTCCTAGTCCCCTTCTGGAGTTCTGGAGAAGCACCCTATGGTTCTAGCACGTGGCCCCTGTAGAGAGCCCTTGGTTAGTGCTGGGTCAGTTCCTACCCAACAGGATTACTCAGACACCCCTTTAGAACTTCACCCAAGCCTCACTTCCTCGCTCTCCTTCAGAGCCAGGGTTAGAAGTCATGGGCAGTAAGACTGCCCTCATGCCCCCACCCCAAATCACTTTGCAGCTCACTTTGGGAGGGTCTGTGAGACCAGGAACATTACATCTATGTATTTGTAGAGTCCTGAGCTTGATAAGTAGATTGTGTTTATGCCAATGACTTTGGAACCTTGGTATATTTCCATATAAGTGCTTTGTGCGTCTCATTGTGCAGGCGCCCTAAGAACTATAACCAAGAGAAGGAGGGAGGCTGTCTCTCCAGACTGAAACAAAGCCAGGCAAGTGGGCAAGACCATGATCCTTGCCCTTCCTTAAGTGGAATCGGGGTTAGACGTGGGAACTCCAGAAGGGGACTAGGACGTCAGCTTTGAGAGTGAGTCTCTGCTGCTGACTTTAGCAGGACCGTGGTCGCACTGTCAAGACCCCCAGAAGGAAGAACATTCACCATGTGGAATTGAGGGGCCCTGCTATCCAGTGCTGTGTATCCACCGGCAGCTTAGGTGGATACCCTTAAAAGTAGTAAGGGTCCATGAGCCCTGATTCCCAGATTGCGCGTCAGTTTGCTTCCTGCCCTGATCCTCCTCTTAGCGACATGATCTCCTCCTTGCCGGGCTTCTTTATTGGTTTATTTTTAATTAATTTATTGTGAGATGGTCTTTTGCTATGTAGTCCTGGCCTTGAACTCACAACATAACTCAAGCTGGACCCAAACTTCAGCTCTCCTGCCTCAGCCTCCCAATGTGTACCGGCATGCCCTGCTTTCCTGCCTTCCTGCTGTACCGTCTGATCAGTGTGGCAGGACTTGGCCTCGTGTCCCTTCCCTGTAAAATAGGGAATTCTATGTCTGCATCCTCCTGCCTGGCTGCTGACAGCCTCCCAAAGGATATAAGGAGGTCCAGCACCTATAATGACCATCGGCATCCTTGCAGTACATTGCTCCGCACGTGACTCTAGAAGTGGAAAAAAAGGCTGCCAAGACCTCCCATTTGTATAGAGGGGCTTGCGACTGGAACGGGCTGATTGGATCCCCAGGGGGAGTCGTTGTCCACGGTGCTGAAGCACTCTCCAGCCTTCCCCTTCCCTATGCAGGCAGGATTCCTCAATTGCATTTGGGGTGGAGGAAGAAGCTGCATCTCTGTCTTCATCATGTCTTGGTCCATTAGCTTGGCAGCGCAGTGGCCTTAAAGTTATGCCTCAGAGCATCTTAGATACACCCCGACTGTCCCAATTTCTCCCAGCTGAAAACAGTTGGGAAAAACAGTTTCTTCGTCTGGATCAGGTAGATTGTGATCCCTTCCCCCTTTCTTTGTTTCTTACTTGCTTAGTGGGGCAGCAAAGTAGGGAAAGGCTGCCATCAGCGCTCAGCAGCGACCCCATCTGGAAAGAGGCAGAGAAAGGGCAGTACAAACTGAGCGGGGAGTTGGGTCCTGACGGGAGCCTGGGTCCAGGATCTCCTGAGTCTTGTTCCTTTGGCAGTTTCGTTCCTGGGTGTGGAGCGCCCCCTTGTGGCTAAAGAGCCCTCCATACGAAGCTAATTCCTCAGGAGCACTGTTGTTGCTAACGGGATCAAGTTGACAGTGTGGGGGGTTGGGAATAAGTGTCTCCGCTCCTATCCCTCCCCCACACAGTGGACAAAATTGGATCATACCTTTTCTATGGCCTTCTCGGGAGTTTGAGGTGTTAGTGACGGAAGGATTTACATGTTTTGCTTTTTGTTTGTTTGGTTTTTTTTTTTTTTTTTGGTTTGTTTTGAGACGTGGTTTCTCTGTGTAACAACCCTAGCTGTTCTGGAACTAACTCTGTAGACCAGGCTGGCCTTGAACTCACAGAGATTCGCCTGCCTCTGCCTCCTGAGTGCCGGGATTAAAGGCGCGCGCCGCCACCGCCCGGCTTTACATGGGGTTTTAACAACAGCAGTAAGTCTAGAAAGGGATTTGGACAGAGATCTATGGATGAGGGGACTTCTACTTGTTGCATTTGTCTGGAAGCCAGCATATGATGGTCGGGTTTTTAGAAGACTGGAAAGACAGCAGCAGACATAGCTCTGAAAGGGCTGTTTAGCCAGGAGGCAGCACTGGGCACGCAGCACTGGGCACGCAGCACTGGGCACGCAGCACTGGGCACGCAGCACTGCCGCCTCCTCAACACACTAATGCACTGTCCTCTTTCTCTTCCCTCCTGCTCTCTCCCATCGGCCCAGGAAGTGTGGAGAGTTGCCATGACAACTCTGTCCTCTCACCCCTGTAGCGTCCCTGTGCTAATATGGGAGGTGGGGGTGGGAGAAACAGCCAGAAGAGGGGTTGAAATGGAGCAATAAAAGATAAGATCTGCCTGGTCCACGTCTGTAATCCCAGCGTTTGGGAAGATAAGACAGAAGGAGTGCCATGAGTTCGAGGTCAGTCTGAACCATGTAGCAAGTGCCAGACAAGACCCGATCTAAAATAAAAGCAAAAAAAAACAAAAAAAAAAACAAAAAAAAAAAAACAAAAAAACTCGTACTTCAGTCATCAGCTTTTCTTTCAAAATCCGTGTGTGTCTGTTTTCCTTACCAGGAATCCAGAAGACGTTTGGAGAGAAAGCTGTGAGCAGAGAACGCCCTGTCTCACTGCCACACCCCCATCTTAAGATCTTGGGGGTGGGGTACAGAGTGCTTTTGATGACCTGGCCAAGGTGCTCTTGTGAAGCCAGCAACCTGCACGTGAGAGAGAGGCTCAGGGTCTGAGACTCCGGTCTGCCAGTCTTGCCCTCTTGCACCGCCCACTCCAATGGGGGCGGCACCGCCCCTCAGTCAGGGACCTTGGGGGCGGAGCTTGGCCAAAGCGCTCCGAGCTGAGCCATGAACCGCTGCCCCCGCAGGTGCCGGAGCCCGTTGGGGCAGGCAGCCCGATCCCTCTACCAGCTGGTGACTGGGTCGCTGTCGCCAGGTATGAGGAAGGGAAGGGAGGGGCAGGACCCCTCTAAAAATGAGTGGCTTGGTATTGGAGCCTTACAGAGTTGGAGAGAAGGGCTTCTCACGGGAATCTGAAGGAACAGGGGCTCGCACATGATTGGGGTGAGGGCAAGATCTCCTGACAGAATAGAGCAGGGGTTAAGGATCACTCACGGAGCAGCAGGATAAGATAAAAGGAAGTGGCATCATGGTCACAACACTGGAGAGGAAAGGCTGTTCACTGAAGGGTGAAGAGACTCGGGCAGGGCGCAGGGATTGGGAGGAAGCTTGAGCTTGCCGTCGCTGAGCTGGGAAAGGGACAGCCCTGTATTGCATTACTTAGGTTTTATGGGGTGTCTTACAATACCCTATCAGTGTCAGAAATAACAAAGGGAAAAATGAAGCTAGAACAAGCTAAGCTCACTAGCGAGTTCATGCCTGACCAGACGGATGAACCGTGTGGCACAGATTGTCACTGCTTTGTCGCTGGGAGTCTGTGTTGATGGGATTGTGCTTTCCTTACTAAACTGTGTGTCTCCAAGGCTGTGTATCCTGGCATTGCCAGGGTTATATGCTTTGGAGTTTGGTTTGAGAACCCCGAGTCAGTAAACTGATAAGGGCTCTCATGAAGTTGTACCGTTGCCCGAAGTTTGTGGGGTTTGTGTGAATTGTGGTTTTCGTGTGGTACTGTTGATATTTGTGCATGCTTCCACTTAGGGTTCCTTAGGGCTGCCTGGGCCCACAGAGCCTGGAATTCCCTCACAACCTGGCCCCACAGCATTCCGGGATCTGTAGTTCCCCGCCTCCTTACATGGGTTCCACTTGAGCCCCTGGAGTATAGTCAGGGCCTGGGGCCATTTTTTGTCATGTATCTTCAGGAGGAGGAGAATTGAGGCCCAGTAAGAGTCATGCTTGCAAATCTCTTGGGGAGCATGTATCCCCTCAAGCCCCCTGCTTGGGCTAGTCTCCAGTGACAGATGGCTGGAGACAGGCGGGGCCAGCTCTCAATCACTGCAGGCATGACTTCCAGGACCCAAAATAGCCCCACGGCCTAGGGAAGTCATTAATCACCTGATGCAGTGGGGGCTGCAGGATTTTTTGATCAGCTGGGGATGGAATGAGCTGGGGGACTGAGAGAGGGCTTTAGGGATCTTTGTTAACAGAATGGCAGTGGAGAGCAGGTGGCAGGGGTGTGGGTTCCTCCACAAGGCAGTATTTTTCCAGACTCGAACCATGGAAAACAAATGACTGAATGATAGCAGCGTCTCTGTGGTGAGACTTGAGAGGTCTGGGAAGGATCAGCCCAGTGCCCTGACGCTTTAGTCTTGAGTTCTCACTTTGCCTAAAGTGGTTCCATTAAGATTTCACTCTGGCAGAGGGGGGGCTGGATGTGCGCCTTTAGTTCCAGCACTCGGGAGACAGAGGCAGGTGGATCTCTGTGAGTTCAAGGCCAGCCTGGTCTACAGAGAGAGTTCCAGGATAGCCAAGGCTATATAATAAGACTTTGTCTCAAAAACAAACAAAAACAGGAAAAAAGACAAAAAGCTCTCATTGTGGGAACGAGAATGTGGCCCATAGGTCCTGTGCTCGCCTCACAGGTGGTAGACCCAGAGTTTGATCCCTAGCACCCCAGAAGTGGATGATGAGCTAAAGAGAGTGGAATAGCGAAGTCAGGTGTAGCTCAGTCTCACTAGGCTCTAAGACTTGAGAAGTCTTCTTAGGGGGATGGGAGACCCTAGGGAAGAGCAGGTCCTCCCTTCATACAGACCCTTCTGCCAGAAACTGGGACCATTTAGAACCTGGAGTCCCTATGAAGCTGGGATAAAGTCTCTGAAAGCTGGAAGGAAAAAGGAAGACACATGGACAGGACAGTTGGCTACAAGGTTGTCAGTCTGTCCATCTCTCCGGGAGCAGAGAGCAGGCACGCTGCTATGATCCCCCTTTCCCTTTTAACTGAAGATGGTGCCTCTTTCAGTCCCGAGAGTCTGGTAGCATCCATAGAACCCTTTTAAATTTTGTTACCCTTAGCTCCCCCAGGATAAACTGTCTTCTTAACACTCTCAAGCCCATTGGTGAGATGATAGAGAGAGTTGGCACGAAGTCATTCTTTACCAGAATATTAATTACTCCTTACTTAGGAAAAACCACTTGGTGAACCTCGGGTTCCCTCAGGTTCATATGGAGGTGGCATGAAGTAATACATATTCATAACTAGCAGGCTCACGGGATGCAGAGCTTTCCATAAGGTAAACTGATGATGTTTGAGCCAGAATTTTTAAAGATTTTATTTATTTATTATATATAGAAAGTCTTCCTCCATGTATGCCTGCAGACCAGAGGGCGCCAGACTTTCATTACAGATGGTTGTGAGCCACCATGTGGGTGCTGGGAATTGAACTCAGGTCCTCTGGAAGAACAGTCAGTGCTCTTAACCCCTGAGCCATCTCTCCAGCCCTGAGCCAGATTTTTTTTGAGGTGGGTCCTTACTATGTAGCCATGGCTGGCCTGGTACTGGCTATGTAGTACAGGCTGGCCTCAAACGCCAAGATCTGCCCACCTCCACCTCCTGAGGGCTGGTATTACAGACACGTGTGCTTAGCTTAAAATTGGGCACATTGGAACAGGTAATTCCAGCATGTAAGAGGAGAACCCAGGAGAACCTGGGTTAGCCTGAGTTATGTAGCAAGCCCCCAGACTCAGGATATAGCTAAAAAACAAACACCCCAGAGGTTAGGGATCTAACTCAATGTTAGAACTTTTTTTTTTTTTTTTTTTTTTTTTTTTTTTTTTTTTTTTTTTTTTTTTTTTTTTTTGATTTTCGAGACAGGGTTTCTCTGTGGCTTTGGAGCCTGTCCTGGAACTAGCTCTGTAGACCAGACTGGTCTCGAACTCACAGAGTTCCGCCTGCCTCTGCCTCCCGAGTGCCGGGATTAAAGGCGTGCGCCAACACCGCCGGGCTGGTAGAACTATTTTTGTAAAAAAAAAAAAAAAAAAAGTGTTTGTGCAGGTGTCCTCAGAGGCCAGAAGAGGGCGCCAAGTTTCCTGAACTTGAATCACAGGAGTTAGTGAGCGGTTCGCTATAGGAACTGATCCCAGGTCCTCTGGATGGGCTCCGAACTGCTGAGTCTTCTCTCCAGCCCCTTGGAGGCACAACTGTTATCTAGCATGTGCAAGGCCCTGGGTTTGATTCTCAATACCATAAAACCAGCTTAGGTTAGATTTCCCCTGACCTCCCGATCAGAAAGCTTTTTTCTGCCTAGCTCATTGAAATGGCCTGCTAGAACAGCTTGTCGCATACTGCTTGTACGACAGGACAATTGTAAATGGGCTTTTCTGCATGGGGGCTGTCTCCCTACCCAATGAAAGTTAGGCTGGGGTCTGAGTCGCCTTCGCCTTGTTCACAGGTGACAACCTTGTGCTCACTCTGTCTTAAGTTCTTATTTTGAGTGGGTTTCCTTCTATGGCCCAGCTGGTCTGGAGCTCGAGAGGGCCTCCTGCCTGACTCTCTCCAGTGCTGAGATCACAGGTGTGTGCTCCTGCGCCTGTTTAGTCCAGGGTTTGCTGCTGCTGCTGTTCACTGTTTTTTCAAACATCTTGACCATCCAGGCACTCGGAATCTAGTTGAGGACACGGGGAGAGATCTGGTTCAATCTCTGAATGATCTCTTCTTAGCTGGGTGCCTTGAGCAGGCCTCCTTATCTCTCTGACTCTCTGTCCCTCCGTGAAAGGTACGCAGTGCTGCTTGCTGTAGACCTCATGGGGTTGCCACGAGGAACAGTGTGATGGCACACACCTGTAATCCCAACCTGTGAGAGAGGGCAGTAGGAAGATCGGGAATTCAAGGCCATTCATTCTCAGCTACTGGAGTTTGGGGCCAGCCTAGGCTACATTAGGACCCTGTCTAGGGGCTGGAGAAATGACTCAGCAGTTGAGTACGGTTGTTATTCTCACAGAGGACCTGGATTCAGTTCCCAGTACCATGGTGCCACACAACCGCCCGTAACTCCGGTTCCAGGGGATCTGGCCCCTCCTGTAGACGTCCACAGGCATCAAGCATGTATGTGGTGCACATATACACATGTAAGCAAACACTTATACACAGAAAATAAATCTAAAAGAGGGCTAGACCCTATCTAAAAAAAACAATAGAAATTAATTATAGTAACAAATATGAGAACACTTTGTGAACTGCCGAGTGCCATGGGACTGTGGAGGAATATTGTGACTAGCGGTGGGGATGCTTATTTAGCAGTGGCTAAACTGCCCAATAACATTTTATGTTTTAGTTCTTTCATTTCCACCAAAAAGTTTGTGAGGTGAAAACCTGAAACACGCACATTAAGAACTCATCAAGATGGGCACTGGTGGCACACACCTTTAATCCCAGCACTCAGGAGGCAGAGGCAGGCGGATCTCTGTGAGTTCAAAGCCAGCCTGGTCTAAAGATTGAGTTTTAGAACATCCAGAGATGTCTTGATCGAAACCTTACCTCGATTGAAAAAACAAACAAACAAAAACCAAGAACTCATCAAGGAGCTGGTGAAATGGCTCAGCCAGTAAGGCATTTCCCACCAAGCCTCATGACTGGAGAGAACCAACTCCTGCAAATTGTCTTCTGACCTCTCCATATGCCATGACACTTGCCTGATCTCTTCCCTGCAAATAATGCTTTCTTAATGTAAGGGGGGGCACTCACCCAGTTAAGTGCAAGTTATAAACTGATTTGAACCAGGGGAGTCTGGAGCCTTGGCCGTGATACCACCTCTCTCTTCTGTTTCTGTTACTAACAAGATGGAGTTAGGTACTGTGTCTTGTAGATTCAACAGGGTATTGCTTTTTATTTATTTATTTTTTTTGTTGTTGTTTGTGTTTTTCGTTTGTTTGTTTTGGTTTTTCAAGATAGGTTTCTCTGTAGCTCTGAAACTAACCAGCTCTTGTAAGCCAGTTTGGCCTCGAACTCACGGAGATCCGCTGCCTCTGCCTTCTGAGTGCTGG